GGATGCGGAGGGGGGGCGGGGACAAGGGGTTTTCGGGGACGTCCCGCGGCGTCCGCAAATACCAGGAGGTCTTCGGGCCCCTGCGGGTGCTGCAGCAGCTTCTTGACCCTTTTGGCTCGAGGCACCTGGCAGCTGGAGCACTCAGTTCTGCCGCCGCGCACGCGAGCAGGGCGCATGAGCTCGGGCCTGGGGTTGCTGGCGCAGTGCTGCCCAGTCTGGCAGCAACTCGGCACACGACAGGGCGCTTTCCACTGTCAACATAGTATCCCGACGAAGAAGCAGGGACGCCCTGTGGTGAGCCGGTCCGTCTGCTGGGGTGCACCGTAGATCATCGTGACCGCGGCCGCTGGGGTTGCCTCGTCGCCAGCGCCGTCGCCGCCGTCGCCGCCGTCTTTACATCCACGGCGTCCGTCCGTGGCCATGTTGGCTCAATCCTGATTTTCATATCTCAGGCGATCGCAAGCATGGATCAAGGGGCTGTGGATTAGCGACGGGTTCCGTTTTCATGGGAAACCGCGGATTTCTGCCGCCGAGCGAGGCGGCACCGGCCCCATTTTGGGGAGGGCACCTACCCCGATCCATGGGTTTGGCGACCGCGCGCCAAATCCACGGATCGCTGATCCATGTCTGCGCGCCCCCGACTATTCCGATGCCGAGTGCCAGCCAAAGGCAGGAAGCGGAGCGCCCTGTCCGGGCTCCACGTCCTGGTCGGCGAGGTGGGCGCGCCGGTGAACCGTCGCAAGGGGTTCTCGGGCGCGGGTGTCGGTGCTCTCCGCGCCCAGGTGGCTGCTGCCTGTTCCGCGCAAGCTCAGGGACGCCGTCCCGAGGACGGGCGGTGCAACCGCCGCTCCTATCCGCTCCTGCCGGTCATTGTAGCTCAAGTCGCGTGATTCGGCGTGGCCACCGCAGGCGCGTCGAAGCATTGGGTTCAGACAGCGCCCCGTCATGGCGGCGCTATCGCCCGCACCGCGGGCGCTGTCGTTTCGTCATCGCAGGCGCTGCGCGTGACTCGGCGCAGACACCGCAACCGCGTCACTCAGTATGGCGCAGGCCTCGCACCGCCATGAAGTGGTCAGCGCAAGCGCCGCGGGGGCAGTCGACTTCTCCGTGCGGGCGCCGCGCGCGGCCACGCGCGGGCACCGCGGGCGCGTCAAATCATTGGGCGCAGACATCTGTTCGTTATCGCGCTGTTAGCGGGGGCGCCGCGGGCATTGTTTTCCAAACGACGCAGGCGCCGCCCATGGTGAAGCGTAGACACCTCCGACACGTCAAGTCATAAGCTGCGGGCGTCGCCTGTTCACTGCGGTCGCCAGCGCTGGCACGCTGGATTTTTTGGTCTGGTGAGGGCGCAGGCGCGCTGTTTGTGGTTATAAAGTTCTCCATGTTCAGGTCGCTGGGGTGGGTGCGGGGGGTTCGGGCCGGGCGAAAGGGGGGATTGGGAAAGGGGGGGGTACGAAATTAGCTGCATGCAGCTGGTTTCGGCCTCACTGAGGGGCCCATTCCTCGATACATAGCCGCTTCCAGCGCCGGGAGGCGCCGGGAAAATCAACTGCGTGAGCTGATTCTCAAACCCCCCCTTTGCTAGCCCCCCCTTTTCGCCCGACCTGGGGGGTGCGCGTGCGCGAATTTTAGCATCGTGTCATCGCCATTGCCCTGGTGGGCGCGCACCGGGCGGGCAGGGTGGGGGCGGGGGCAGCTGGGTCACCCGAGCGAGGCTTCGACAGGTCGAGCGAGCGTGGCAGGACCGTGGCGGTGAAGGGTCGCGCGCGCGCGACACGCCGCGTGCAGGAACGAGCACGTTTTTTCTTTGGCCCATAGCGCGTCGTGACAAGCATGGAAAGTTGGCGGCGCTGGGTTCAGAATTGCGTAGCACCCCGCAGTTGCGGACACGAGTGCGGGGGCGGCGGGGACGTCGGTAATCTGCAACGCTCAATTTTTTTAAGGATGCAACCACCTCGCCGCAGGCGCCGTGTTTTCGTTAAAGTAACGTGGGTGGGTCGCGAGTGGGTCGCGGTTTGGTCGCGGGCCAAGTCGCGGGTTGGTCGCGGGTGGGTCACGGGTGGGTCGCGGGTGAATCGCGGGCGGGTCGCGGGGTGGGTCGCGGGCCAAGTAGGGGGCGTGTCGCGGGCCAAGTCGCGGATTGGTCGCGTTTGAGTCGCGGGCGGGTCGCGGGCCGGGTCGCGGGTGGGGCGTGGGTGGGTCGCGGGCCAAGTCGCGGGGGGAATTGCGAAAACAAAAACAAACAACATACAACAACAAACAGCTAACAAGCAACAACCAATAACAACACCAACTACAATAACACCATCAACACCAAAACCAACACCAACATCACCACCAACAAAAACAACTACGATTACTATTGACGCTATTTGTTCGACCTCTACTAGTACTACCATTCCTAATATTACTATCACTACCACTACAACTTCGACTACGACGACTACTACTACCACTACTAATACTACTACTACTACCACTATGTTTTACGAACGCTACTACTACGACTACTTCTAGTACTGCTACTGCTACTACTACTACTACTACTACTACTACGACTTCGACTACGACTACGACTACGACTACGACTACGACTACGATTACGACTACGACTACGACTACGACTACTACGACGACTACTACTACTACTACTACTACTACTTCTACTACTGCTACTACTGCTACTACTACTACTACTAGTGGTACCACTACTACCACTACTACTACTACGACGACGACTACTACCACTACTACTACTACTACCACGACTACTGCCACTACTGCTACTGCTATTAATCATACTACCCTTACTTTTAGTATTAGTACCACTAGTACAACTAGTCTTACTACGACCACTCGTATTACTACCACCACTATCTACAACCACTACTACTACTGCGACTACAACTACTACTACTACTACTACTACTTCTACTACTACTGCCACTATTACTACTACTGCTACTACTACTACTACTGCTACCACTATTACCACTACCACGATTGCTACTGCTACAACAGCTACGACTACTACTACTGCTACTACTACTACTACGACTAGAAGTACTACAATTACGACTAATGCCTTTACAAGAGCAGCTTCTATTATTACTACCAGTACTACTACTGCTACGACTACTACTACTACGACTACTACCACCACCACTACTACTGATACGACCTAATACGACTACTAGTACTTCGACGGGTACTACTACTACTACTACTACTACTACTGCTACTACTACTACTACTACTACTACTACTGCTATTACTACTACTCCCCAACTACTACTAGTACTGCTACTACCAGTACTACTTCTACTGCTACTACTGTTACTACTACTACTAATACTACTACTACTACTACTACTACTACTACTACGGCTACTACGGGTACTACAGCTGCGACTTTTACTACTACCCCTCGTGCTAGTACGACGGCTACCATTATCACTACTGCTACTACTACGACGACTACTACTACAACTACACTGTTACTACCATTATTTTCACGGCGGCGACCTACCTAGTACCACCACTACCATTACTACGGCTATTACTTCGAGTGCTACTGCCATTGCTATTGTTAATTACTACTGCTATTACTACTGCTACCACTACTCCTGCTACTACGACTACTGCTGCTGCTGTACGATAAATACAGCTGCGAATTCTACTACTACTGCTACTACTACTACTACTACTACTACGACTGCCATTGCTACTATAACACTACTACTACTACTACTGCTACTACTACTACTACTACTACTACTACTACGACTACTACTACTACTACTACTACTAGTACTACTACTTCTTCTACGACTACTACTACTACTACTATTACTACTACTACTATTACTACTACTACTGCTTCTACTACTACTACTACTACTACTACGACTACTACTACTACTACTACTACTAGTACTACTACTACTACTACTAGTACTACTACTTCTACTACTACGGCAACTACGAGTACTACTACTACGACTACTACGACGGATTCGACTACTACTACTACTGCTACTACTACTACTACTACGACTACGGCTACTACTAGTACTACTACTATCACTACGACGACTACTACTACTACTACTACTATTACTACTACTGATACTACTAGTACGACTACTACTACTGTTACTCCTTTGACTACTATTACTACTACTACTACTACTACTACTTCTACTACTACTACTACCACTACTATTACTAATACTATTACTACTACTACTACTACTACTACTACTACTACTACTTCTACTACTACTTCTACGACGACGACGACGACGACGACGACGACGACGACGACGACGACGACTACTACTACTACTACTACTACTACTCCTCTTGCTGCTACTAGTACGGCCACTATTGTTATTACGACTACTCATAATACAGCTACTGCTGCTACGATTGCTGCTGTTGCTGTTTCTACTACGACCTACGAGTATTACGACTATGATTGTAATTCTTATTACAGAGAATGACCGCTCGGCCCTCTCACGCTGATAAGGACATTCCTGCGCTAGGCCTCATGACTAACGGTGGCCCCGTCCGCCCTGATGACCCCATAGTTAGGCCTGATCATTATTTAGTCGTTCCCACTCGCAGGAGCTGCCCTCTAATCGGAGGCATGCCATCCAATGCTTTCCAGGCCTCGGCCTGGAACGGGGAGTCGGAATGTGCCGAATATATATATATATATATATATACACATGTGCGCCGATCCTGGTCTCTAAGTCTGGCACGTCCTTCAACAGGATGAATATTCAAGAACTTTTTGTTAAGCAAGTATGGTGGCGATGTTTCTTGGTCGTTTGACTATGCTTGAGTATTTCTTGTATCTTTCCTATTTTCCTCCCGAATCCGCCTGTAGGAGGATGTACTCGATCTAATCCTGGTCATGCCGAGATCAGTGTGGCCAGGATCTGCGCATGTGTACACATTGGCGCCTTCCCAGGGGAGGGGCGGGGCCGCGACAGGAACACGACGGCGACATCCTCTTCCTGAAGCTTGCGGACGGCCGGGGGTGGTGCGTGGACCGCGAAATCGGCCACGAGATGTGCTACGAACTCGATCAGGAGCCTTCGCCCCCGACTTCCCAGCACACTGCTAATAACAGTTTGTGGGTCGAGATCCTGTTTTGGGAACCGAAATAGTCGGTGGGTGTCGTTGTTGGGACGTCGAAGTTTTCCATCGGAAGTCGAGTTCGGATTCCTTGGAAGGCAATTCCGACATTCGCAAAGACGGTGTGTGATGGATGTCGCGTTCGATTCCCAAAGGCACGCAGTTCTCTCAGACCGCCCACGTAAGCTGCGGCGTACAGCCGCTACGTCTTCTCGCGTAGGACCCGCTTGCTGCCGACGTTCATCCGGCGCAGGTGGAGGAATTCACACCCCAACACCCTTTGGCGAAAGAAGCCCGATGTCCGTGATGACGTAGGGCTCAAGGCGCTTTTTCAGCGAGGCCACGCCCTGGGTAGAGTAGTCCAGGGGAGCCCGATTTCGGCACTGTTGAACACATCTGTGCGCACTCGTCGAGTAGGGGATCAACTGCAGAATTGCTTTACCCCGAAACTGATTTGTTTCATCGCATCTGGAAAAGGAGAAGGCAAAACGCTCGTGGACTGCTACGTATTCCTTCGGCGACTCGACGAACAAACACATTCTGGGGTGAATCACTTCTGCACGTGACCTCCTACTCTGGATCGCTGAATAGTCGCCCCCCCTTGGAGTGCCCGGAGTACTCGAACTCTCGTTTCGCTGCCGACGTGCACCTGGGCTGGCCGTCGAGACGCACGACGGGCACGCCCTTTGGGCGGCTCCCGGCCCCTGCGGGGCCTGCGCGGTTCCCGGGGTGCCGCCGGAGGGAGGGCCCGCCCCGGGGGGAGTGAGCGGGCCGTGTTTTCTGGAGGTCAACGCCTTGCACTCAAGCAGGGCTCGTGTCCGATGCGATCCGGTTCGATTCGCTTCGATTTGTCCGTGGCCTCCGATTCCGATTCGTTTCGACGTCGGAGTCCGATGTGGGCTCCGATTCCTTAAGGGACGCATACCCGCCTGCCGATTTCCGCCGATGCGACTTGTCCCGACTCGGCTGCCGATTCCCGCCGGTCCCAGCCATCTCGATCGGCGATCCGACTCATCGGTTCGATTCTGGAGTCGCCTGCACAAGTCATGGCATGCACTGGAGGGCCAGGACCACTGGGTTCAGCAGGGTTTCTGGTAGGTTCTCGCTCCTGAGATCCAGGTCGGGCGGCCTATTGCGAAGGCCTGACGGTCGGTGCCGCCGACCCACGACGTCGGCGACGAAGTGGGCGGAGACGGAGGCCGTGGAAGATGAGGAGGAGGAGGAGGCGAGGAGGAGGAGGAGGAGGAGGAGGAGGAGGAGGAGGAGGAGAAGGAGGAGGAGGAGGGAGGAGGAGCGTGGAGGTGGAGTTTGGAGCAGGAGGGGGAGGAGGAGGGGGAGGAGGGGGGCCTACTGGTGGCCGCGCTGCGCTTCTCCGTGGCCAGAGGAAGCGCTTTCGCTCCTCCCGCGGCGGTCGTCGTGGCACTCTTGGGACCTCCTGTCGGCAGCGATGGCAGCGCGGAGGGCGCCAGAAGCGAGCGGGCGCGCTCGAGGGGAGCTGCTGCCGACGAGCGCTGGCAACGCGATGTGCACCAGGAGGCTACCAGTACGCTCCGAGTGGGCTGCCTGGCAGCGACCAGCTCGCTACGAGCGAGCTTCCGTCCGACTGGCAGTTCGACGAGCGCCGGGTGCGTGTTGGCACTCTCGGGTTGAACTTCTCGGCAACAACGTTAGCTACGTGAAGTGCGCAGGACGCGAGTTAGCGCTCTCGACAGTTGTTGCCGACAACTCTGGCAAATTGATGTCCCGTTATCCCTTCCAGGGCCCATTTTGGTCTGATCGATATCGATATCGATTTCGGCTGGTCCGACCCAATCTGATTTCGATATTCAGCGATCTTATGCGTCATAGTGTTTGCATGGCGCTGTGGTGCATTCCTGCGTGGTCCATGCGGTTCGATTCCGACTCCTTGTTGATGCAGTTCGGTTCGATGTTTGTTCCGAACCGATACGATGAATTGATTCGATGTTGACGTTCTTGCTTTCTCGTTTCCTGGCCTTCGTAATACCCGTTCGTCTCGTTGTTCTTTGTTTTGGGCGGCGGATGTCGGAGCGCGTCAATTGTTGTCAACTATGCACCGACTCCGATCGACCGACTCCGATCGTGGCGCAGGATCAGTGCAGATGCCTTCCTTCGAGGGATGAAGCACGGGGACCATGACCAAGATGCTACGTGATGTTGTCGATGCCGATCTTGCTCATGGTCCATGTCGGCCGTCGCCGATGTCGTGAGGATGATCAACGCATTGACTCTGACCAAGATCGACGGTGACCAAGATCGGAACGAAGCTTCCGCGCTCAGTCTTGGCCGTGGTCACCGTCTTCTTCTTCATCCATTCCTGGCCAGACCAGGATAGCGTCATTACAACGCTCTTGGCTGGGATCTGCCAGGATCGGTTCAGGAGTGAAGCTTTTGTGTCAATCTAGAGAGAAGATTCGGCCACGCGCAGAGGGGGGTAGCGGGAGGGGGGAAGGCTTCTTAGAAGCATCCTTGCTTCTGAGAAGGGTCTGGTCTTATCTGTGCATGTATGGCCAGGGCCTTCTAAGAAGTAGGGTGCTTCTAAGAAGCCTTCCCCCCTCCCCCTCCCCCCTTCTGCTCGCCGCCAAAAGATGGTGATCCGTCCTTCGGGATGCAACTCCTGGGAGGTTCAGTTCAGCATCGGCGCTGGTACTTCTATCCGTGGTCGAAGCCCGGCCCACTCCGGCATAATCCCGTCTTATCCAGTCTAATCCTGCATTTGTCCGCTAAATTTAGCATGCTCTCGGGCTTAATCCTGCCAGATCTGGCTAGGTGGACCCTTCATCGGGCTTCACAGCCCCTGATCGTTCTCACGAGGACCTCCCAGAAGATGCCTCCTAACGGCCTCCTTCCTCATTGCTCTCCTCGTCATGTCGGACGGGGCTGGGACGAGGATGAATCCGTTCCAGAGCGTTCCGGAACGCTCTCAGAGCGTTCCAGAAAGCTTTGAAAAGGCCGCGGCGCCCGAGATGTCTTCCAGAGCCGCCGTATGGCAGAGATTCTCGACTTATCTTCACCTGATTTTGCCCTCGTCCTGGCTTCGTCTTGTCCCTCCTTGCTCCTCTCCTCGTGCCGCGGCGGACAGGAGGTGGACGAGCTGTGGAAGTACTCGCCGGCCAACGGGAAGCCCATAGTCCTCCGCGACGGGCCCCACATCGACGGGCCGAAGACAGGTCTGGCTGCAGACGATGCCATGCAGCAGCAGGGGGGCGGGGGGGGAGGATGAGCAGGAGGAGGAGGACGAGGAGGAGGAGGAGGACGAGGAGGAGGAGTTCGCACTGTTTCGCGGCGCAACGAGTTCACACTGTGTCGCGTGATGCCGCCAAGGAGCTTCAGTAGAACAACATGTATGTGTTTAGTGCATGCCGTTGATGCCGGTTCTGGATTTCTGGTCTTCAAGTTTGTCCGTGAGGCTTGGTTGAACTAATTTGTATACATATGTATTAAATATATATATATATATATACGTATGGATGCTTAGGTGGACATACATATACACATACACATACAATGTGTGACTACATGTGTGTATATGTACATACATGTACATGCATACCCAAACTCTCACTACAACATTTATATACACATATATATAATTCTTGGCGTTTCACGTAACCCCATCGGGCCATCCAGCAACGACACCCCTGCGAGTTGCGTCGACCCTGGAAGCCCTTCGTGCATTTGCCGGGGTCCTCTCTGAGGCTCTGCCTGTGCACGGGGCACGACGCCGTCGGCCTACCTGGGCCCCTTCCTCTCGGGAGCCGGGAGCGGCAGAGGGGCGGGGGCTCCGCGGCGGCGGCGGCCGTCTCGGCTGGCGTGGCGCGGCGCGGCTGTCCAGCCAAGCGGACGCATCGCCCGCTCCTGCTGGCGAAGGCGGCGGCGATGGCCCAGCTGCGGCAGGTCGGTGCAGGCCCGAGCGGCAGCAGCAGCGGCAGCGGAGGGGAGTCGGCGGCCCCTGCCTAGGCGCCACCGCCGCCTCCGCCGGAGCTGCCCCCGTTGGTTGGGGGCGTGGGCACCCGCGAGCCGCACGAGGTTTCACGCGGCCTGCACCCAGTGCGGGCACTGGGCGCAAAGTGTCAGGATGGCGGGGCACGCCGAGCCGTGCCCGACGGCGCCCATGAACGCGAGGCAGCAGGCGGTCGCCGGGCGGCTGGAGCGTGGCCTCCAGCCTGCTGGTGCGGGCTCGATCGGTGACCCCGGGCCCGTGCGGCGCCTCCGCGGGACGCTTGGGGCAGCAGGCGGCCGCTCCTCTCTTTCACCGCGCGCAGTGTTGCACTCGACGCCTTCCTTTCGGAGGCGTCCACCCGCGGAAGCCGAGCCATGTGCGTAGGCATGCCGACGCATGGGGTCGGGCTCCGTGGTGCCATGGACCATGCAACCAGTCCATCGGGGGGCCAGGTGCCTAAAGGACGACATGCGTTGCGGATGGCCAGGTGTATTGTTCGTTGCTCTCGATCAGTGTGCGTGGCTTCGGCTCGGTGCATGCTGCAATCTGTCTGCGCGCCTCCACGGCACCTCTGCGTCGGAGGCTGCGCTCTGAGCGGGAGTCGAACCAGGCGTGTGGGCGTTTGATCCCACGCGGGACCGGGCTCCGATGTCAGCGGCAAAGCAACCAGTCCAGTGTGTGGCCAGGTGCCTTAGGGACGAGTTGCTCTGCTGCTGGCGAGGCATACCGCTTGCCGCTCTCCGCTTCCAGCGTGCACGGCGTGCTGCTTGCCGCTCGGTGCATGCTGCGATCGGTCTGCCACACCCGGCTTTTCGGACGTGAGGGCGGAAGCCGAGCCGGGTGTGTAGGCTCGCCGACACGGGATCGGGCTCCGATGGCATTGGCAAAGCAACGGGTCTTTCTGTTTGGCCACGAGCCAAGGGATAGTTGCTCTGTTGTTGCCGAGGTGTCTTGCCGCTCGTCTAGTGTGCATAGCTCTGGCTCGGTGCACTGGTGCACGGCCTCACGCTCAGTGCACTCGTCTCGCCTGTCGCCTAGTGCGCGCTGCCAGCCTCCGCTGCAGTGGGTCTGAACCGCGGGCGCAGGTGGCTTGCTACCGACGCTCCGGATCGGGCTCCGCACCATCGCAGAGCAACGATGTCCCGTGAGTGGCCTCGAGCCGTAGGGACTGCGTTGTTTTGCTTTGGCTCCCATATTCCGCACGTCGCAGGGCGTGCAGTCTCCATGCCGCCGTCTGCCGTGGCATGCAATCCGTTCAATGTAGTTCCGTTGGCGCTGTCCACTCCCGTGCTCGCCGCTCTGTCAGCGCCGTTCGGGGCGAGACAGCGGAGAGCAGGTGGTTGCGCCGACGCTCTTGATCGCGCTGCGCAAGCATCGGCAGGGTGGCCAGGAGCCGCCAGGACGGCGTTGTTCGGCCGATGTGCACTGCTAGCTTCTGCTCGGGCCGTGCACGCCGCTTGCGCTGCAGCGTGGCTGCGTGCCAGCCCGCCTGTCGTTGCACTGCCCGCGTGCTTATGGCGGAGGCTGAACCCAGGAGGCAGGTGGCGCCGCCGACGCTCCGGTTCGCCTCCGAAGGCCATCGCAGAGCAAGGTGTCCATCGTGTGGCCATGGGCTATAGGGACTGTTGCTTTGCTGTGGCGCGTGTGCGCATCTGTCGCGGGCGGAGTCGCTGTGAACGCTCGGGTGCCGTGACTACAGCTTGTTTCGGCCAGAGCGGCGGGCGGCGTCTCGGCACTCGGGTGAATTTGCGAGGGTGCCTTGGGCACGAGACCGCGCGTTGCCGCCGCAGGGCCGAAGGGGAACGCCTCGGTCCGAGGGTCACTATGAGCTGGGATCTCCTGACCCTTTTTTAGACGCGTGAATCATCAGCACCATCGTTCGCCTCATCATCACCACCACCATCAGCGAGCTCACGAGCTTCACCATTCCCACCATCACCACCATTATCATCATCATCGTCCTGTCTATCCTCAGCCTCAGCATAATCATCATAATCTTAATCGTTATCATGGTCTTCTGTCTTTTCATCCTCATCCTCCTCATCCAGAGGTCCACCCTTCCCGCTGCTTCTCCCTTGATCATCATGCTTATCCTCTCTGGCCTCCGCTCCCTCCCAGCTGGCGATCCTCCGGTCCCTCCCACCGTTGCTGCTCCCATCGGCTGTCCAGCGCCCCAGCCATCACAGGCAACAAGCTGAACCCCGAGGAGAAGTTCAAGGTGTGCGAGATAAAGGAAGTTGGGCGGGAGGGGTGAGGACCATAGGAAACGGGGTGGCAAGGATGGCAGGGCGAGAAAAAGTGGGGAGGGACAAGGGAGGGCAGGGGAGGGGGTCAATGGGGGAAGGGCATACGGAGAGGGAAGGCGAGGGCTGGGCTCTCGTAGCCATCCCAGATGCATGTCGTTGCCTTTTTTCCCAGCTCGCTCTCGACCTGCTCTTTTTCTCCATTGTTGCACGGACATCACCACCCTGCCTGGAGCTGCAGATGAATGGTGGGGATGCGGAAGAAAGGGAAGGACAAAGGGAAAGGAATGGGGAGGTGGATGGGAGTCACGAGCCAAGGTTGCACAGGCATCGCCACTCTCCCTTGTGTTGCGGAAGGGAGGGAAGGGGAAGAGGACGGAAGTCACGAGCGGGGACGGGAGGGAAGGGAAGGGGGGGATGTAGGGGAGTGAAGGGGAGGAGGATGGTAATCACGAGCGGGTTGGGGAGGAAGGGGGGGTGAAAGGGAGGGGGCGGAAGGGAGGGAAAGGGGCGGATGAGGGGAGTACGAGTGGGCGTTGCGGGGAAAGGGGGGTCTTGCGGTAGAGGAGGGACGAGCAAGGGATGAACGAGCGGAACAGAAGCGACGACGTGCGAGGAGGACGGGCCAAAAGGATGGGCCAGGAGGAGGTGGCGAAGGAGGGGCGAGGACCGGGAGAGGAGAAGGAAAACCGAGGGTAAAAGGAGGAGGAGGAGGCAGACAAGGAGGAGGAGGAGGAGGATGAGGAGGAGGAGGAGGAGGAGGATGGGGAGGAGGAGGAGGAGGAGGGAGAGGGGAGAGGAGGCGGAGGCGGCGGAGGCGGAGGCGGCGGCGCCGGCGGAGGAGCGGAGGGGAGGAGGGGAGTGATGAGGAGGAGGAGGAGGAGGAGGAGGAGGAGGAGGAGGGGGGAGGGTGGGAGGAAGAGGGGAGGAGGGGGACAGGACGATGAGGGGAAGAAGGCCGAGGAAGAGGACGATGACGAGGATAGGAGGAGGGGGAGGAGGAGGGCAGGAGGAGGAGGAGGAGGAGGAGTAGGAGGAGGAAGAGGAAGAGGAGGAAGAGCGCGGAGGAGGAGAGGAGGAGGAGGAGGAGGAGGAGTATGATGAGGTGGAGTGGGGATGCGGCGGGAGATGAGGAGGAGGTGGCGGAGAGGGCAGGGGAGGGAGGAGGAGGAGGAGGAGGAGGCGGCGCCGGCGGCGGAGAAGGAACGGAGGGGGAGGAGGAGGGGGAGGAGGAGGAGGAGGAGGAGGCGGGGAGAAGGAGGGAAGGAGGAGGCGGAGGAGGGAAAGGAGGCCATAGGAGGGGTAGTTAATCAAGAGGAGGGGAGGAGGAGGAGGAGGAGCTGGCGGCGGAGGAAGAGGACAGGAAGGAGAAGGAGGAGGAGAGGAGGCGGCTGGAGGGAGGTGGAGGGGGAGGAGGAGGCTGGCGGTCGGCGGCGGTAGGCAGGAGGAGGAGGAGGAGGCGGAGGAGGAGGAAGAGAGTGGAGGAAGATGAGGAGGAAGAGGAGGAGGAGGAGGAGGAGCAAGGAGAGGAGTGGGGCGAGGCAGGAGCAGGATCAGGAGGAGGAGGAGGATGAGGAGAGGAGGAGGGAGTTGGAGGAGGAGGAGGAGGAGGAGGGAGGCGGAGGAGGAGGAGGGCGGAGGAGGAGGAGGAGGAGGAGGAGGAGGAAAACGACGAAGAACACTAAGAGGCATATTAACGATGAAAAATAATAAAACGAAGAATAATACGACGAACAAGCTTACTACGACGCATAATAATAATAATAATACTAATAATAATGATGATGATGATGATGATGATGATGATGCTGATGATGAGGATGATGATGCTGATGATGCTGATGATGCTGATGATGCTGATGATGATGATGATGATGATGATGATGCTGATGATAATAATGATACTAATACTAATAATAATAATGATAATAATAATAATGCGAATGCGAAGAATACGAATACTTGTAAGAATGATAATACTATTACGAATATTAAACAAGCATACGACTGGCAATATTACTATGGATAATACGAGGAGGAGGAGGAGGAGGAGGAGGAGGAGGAGGAGGAGGGAGGAGGAGGATGCAGGAGGAGGAGGAGGGAGGGAGAAGGAGGAGGAGGGGAGGAGAGGAGAAGGAGAGGAGGAGATGAGGAGGAGGAGGAGCAGGTGGCGGGGAAGGGAGGGGGTGGGGGTGGCAAAGGAAGGCCGCGGAGGATATCGTCGTCCGTTGTCGTCGTCGACCTCCTCCTCCTCCTCCTCCTGCTCCGAGAAGCTCAAGAGGTCAGCGCTCGGCAGCTCCAGTGGCGCGAAATCATTCAGGAGGGGGAGAATTATTCAGACATAATGAGCCGTCGGCCCCCAGGAACGAATGGGAAGTGGGGGGAGGGCGAATACCCAGAACATATGGGAAGTGGGGGCGGACGACGAGTACCCCGAGAATATGGGCAAAGATGTGGAATTCTGGGGGGAGTCTTATATATATATATATATATATATATATAGATGTCTGTGTGTTTGTGCCCCAGGGCCTTTCTCAACATCCGAAAACATTTCTCCCCTCCAAGGAGAGCCTCCGTCCCCCCCCCTCGACCCTCGACCCCATCCGAAAGCCTCACCCCTCGAAGACCTCCGCCATCCGAGCCATCCGAAAGCCCACCCCTTCTCGAGAGGGCCCACTGTCCAGGCCGCCCAGAGGGGATCGGATGAGACTGAGCGGTGGGAGAGTGGTGGACCAGGGGGAAGGCGAGGAGGGGGGGATGAGAATGATGAGGGAGAAGGGGAGAGGAGTGTAGAGGGAGGGGCAGGGGAGGGCGAGGGGGGGAGGGGCAGGGAGGAGGGGAGTGGAGGGGAGGGGAGGGAAGGAGAGGAGGGAGGAGAGGAGGGGAGGGGAGAGCGAGGAGGAGGAGAGGAGTGTGGATGGGGAAGAGGAGGGAGGCGAGTGGGGCGGAGGACAGAGTCGCGCCGCGGGCCAGAGGGCGTGCAGGGAGGAAGGTGACCTGGGCGCTGCCCTCAGCCCGCCCGCGCCACCTCCTCGCTTCTCTTCGACCCGTGGCCGCGCCAGCCTGCCTCCCTCGATCCTCGACCCTCGGCCCTCGATCCTCGGCCCTCGATTCATGTCGGGCCAGTCCCTCTGCAGAAGGAACATCCAAAAATAGTCTCACACACAGACAAAAACAAATCTGGGCAATTCTTCCATAAGTTGTCTGGCTATTTTGAGCATTTTGGGGGTATGTTCGATGTTTCTCCCAAGATCCCCCTGCAGGGGGACAGGCCCGACCTCTAACCCTCCGTCCTCCCCGCTGGCCCGAGGCGGCGACGGAGCAGAGGGAGTCGGAGGATCGCGCCGCACCGCCGACGCTCGAATAATAATAATAATAATAATAAGAAGAAGAAGAAGAAGAAGAAGAAGAAGAACAGGCATGCGGCATGAACATAAACTTTGTGCGCTGCTCACGGGTCTCGTGGATATCCGCGCCGCCCCCCCCCCCCCCCCCCCCCCGGACGGCGCCTTTCCTTATTTTTCTATCTTTTTTCCTTTTTCTATTTTTTCGTTTTTTTTTTTTTATTTTTTCTGGCGCCGCCCCTGGCGCGCTTCGCGCGTCGGGGGGGGGGGGTCGGCGCGGATCCGAGAAATCCGCGCGAAGCGCCAAAAGTTTATGTTTATCGCGTTTTTTGTTCTTCTAGATGCATCGGGGGGTCGGCGCGGATCCGAGAAATCCGCGCGAAGCGCCAAAAGTTTATGTTTATCGCGTTTTTTGTTCTTCTAGATGCATCGGCGGTGCGGCTCGATGTGGAGCCCGATCTTCTCCACGCCGAGTTCGCCGATGCATCGCCGACGTCGCGGACCCAGACATCTGACTGCTCCAATTTTTTCCATGCGTGGGCTTTGGAGGTCTGGACCACTTCCCCAGGGCCGGTTATCCGTCCCGCGTGGGATGTTGAGGCTCTCGCGGCGCAGCGAGGGCCCCCGGAGGCCGAGAACGGCCGGAAACCGCCCGCTCCAGTTTTTGGGGGAGTGTCGGATCTCTGGGGATGCACCGCCAACCCATCGGTCGATGCGTAGGCGATGCTTCGGCGATGCGGCTGGATCTTCTGACCCCATCGACTGGGACCCCCCCACTTGGGAGGCCTCCCGAAACGGACGCGGGAGCACCTCGCCCCCATCGGCCCTCGGGGCCGAGGGCGGAAAGTTGCGTGTGCCTCTATCCTCCCTCCTCGCTCCTTCCTCCCCTCCTCCTCCCCCTCCCCCTCCTCCTCCTCCTCCTCCGCCGTCTCCTCCTCCTCCTCCTCCTCCTCCTCGTCCTCCCCCTCCGCCTTTTCTTCCTCCTTCTACTCCTACTCCTTCCTCCTCCTCCTCCTCATCCTCCCTCCTCCTTTCTCTCCTCCTTTGCCTCCTCCCCACCCACCTCATCTCCTTCTCATCCCCTTCCTCTTTCTCCTTTTCCCTCTTGTCCTCCTCCTCCTCCTCCTCTTCTCCCTCTTCCTTCTCCTCCTATCATCATCCCTCCCTCTCCTCCTCCCTCCTCTCACCTCCTTCCTCCTTCCTCTCCTCTCTCTCTCCTCCCCCTCCTCCTCCTCCTCTCCTCCTCCTCCTCCCTCTCTCCTATACTCGTCCTTCCCTCCTTTCTCCTCTGCTTCTCCTCCTCCTCCTCCCTCTCTTTCTCCACTCCTCCTCCTCTTCCTCCTCCTCATCCTCCTCAGTCCCTCCTCCTTCCTCCATCCTTTATTTCTTCACCGTCTTCATCCCCCTCCGTTTTGTACCCTTCCTCTTGTCCTCCTCATCCTCATCCTTGTCCCGCTCTCCTTCTCCTTATCCTCCTCGTCATCCCTTTCCTCCTGCCTCCTCTCCCTCTCCCTCCTTTTCCTCCTCCTCCTCCTCCCTCATCTCCTCCCCTTCCTCCCTCCTCCCCCTCCTCTTTACTCCTCCTCCTCCTCGGTGCTTCCTACTCATCCTCTTCTCCTCCGCCTCCCCTCCCCCTCCTCCTCCTCCTCCTCCTCCTCCTCCTCCTCCTCCTCCTCCACCTTGTCCTCCTTCCTCCTCCTCCTCCTCCTCCTCCTCCTCCTCCTCCTCCACCTTGTCCTCCTTCTTTTTCTCCTCCTCTTCCTCCTCCTTCACCACCTCCTCATCTTTTTTCCCCTCCTTCTATGCCTTCTCCTCCCTGCTCTTTCCCTTTTCCTTGTGACTCATTCCTCCCTGTCGCACGCTGACGTCTGTCGGAAGGGTGGGGCATGCGTTTCCTTACGACACTTCCACCATTTGCGAACATGAAGTTGAAGATGTGCAACCGTTTCACGGATGTTTGGCAGACCGTTTTAAACAAGAGTGTTCGGTTCAGCGCCGCGCGCATCTGTCTGAATCAATTGCAAGAGCTTCACGGATTGAGAACATTTGAGTTTCAACATGTTGCTCTCCGTTGAGAGCCGTGCATATCCGTTTATTGGACATTTACATGAGCTTCACAGATGGAGGGCAGGCCGTTTTCATAATGTGGCTCTCGCATCTAGTACCGCGCACATTCGTCATGCATGATGCAGGAGCTTCGCGGAATTTCGGGCGGTCTCTTTTCAAAATGCGGTTGTCGCCTTGGCGCCGCGCACGTTCGTTGTAAGGCTTTCGAACAGGCATCCCAGGAATACTGGCACGATGTCGGAATGTCAGGGCGCAGCAGTTACGTTCACTCGTGGCGATGACGTGCCAGGAACCAGAAATCGCGTTCTGGCACGGTTCAGGATTCCCACGAGGCAACGTTCACGGTAATTCGCGGCGTTGACGTATCAGGGATGGTGTTTTGGCGCAGTTCCGGATCTTCAGACGGTTGTCTGCCAACGGGGGGATGTGTTCTTTTGTGAATTTGGATCCTTGTTTTACTGCACATGAGTCGTGGGTTGCCACTGCCTCCTCCTCCTCCGCTCTTTTACCTCACGGAGGACTCCTCCCTGCCGTACCCCGGGGCCGGTCGAAAGGGCGGGCCCGGGCGTTCTGTTCGAGTTTTCTTCACAGTGTAAGATCTTGGGGGAGGAGGATGAAAAGGAGGAGGAGGAGGAGGAGGAGGGAGGGAGGGAGGGAGATGGAGGAGGAATTCTGGAGTTCTGGGTGTGGCGACAGTGTCGGTTCTGAATGACTGAACCGGCTACAAGCCCTGCCGCTTCCCGCTGGCCAGCTCGGCTTTACTGCGAACCTTCGGCAAAAGGCCTCGGGAAATTCTGTCAACGTAATTCGGTTACCAGAAATCATCCCCTCTCACTTGGCGGCTAATGCTCGAAGCTGTTGCGAAGCGAAACAACCACGAGCTCAACCAGTCGTTTTTACGAGCCAAGGACGTGAAACCCTGACACCTGGAACAGCTCTTTGCATCTTCCTTGAGACTCTGAGAACTACTGAACATGGCACACACGCTGGCCGATGGAGGGAGCTTGCTGCTTGCGCCTACGCTTACCACCCTGCTCAGCTAAGAGACGCTCTTCGGCCTGAATGGCCTCGAGTGTGCTTTGGAGGATGCGCATGCGAACTGCGAAAGCTTGCTGCTCGACACTATGTACGCGTGCACGGACGGATTCGGCAAGACTAGCCTGGCAACTCTTGCGCCTGCCGCTGCGAACGTGTGGTTCTTGCGCCAGCGCTGCGCACCGTAGTTTTCAAAGTTTGCAAGATCACCACCCACCACACCACCCCAACCCAACCCGAAGGCTTCAATTTACCCTCCATTTTCCAGTGGGGGGGCTCGGAGAACATTGACAAAACACATGGAGCCCGTACCCCCCCCCCCCCAACCCGAAATTCGGGTCAAGTTCGGGAATCGGGTTGGGTTGGGGTGGTCTGGCAGGTAGCCACAAGAGGTTCACGGATGGAAGACGGTTCATGTTCAAGATGTATTTCTCGCTTTCGTGCCGTGCACATCCGTTTTGAGAGTTCGCAGCAGTTTCAAGGAGTCTCATGGTTACTCTATCAGCAACGGTGTTTGGCACGATGTCGGCGTGGCGGGGCGCAACAGTCACGTTGAGTCCGGGTGTTGAAGTCCCAGGAATTGTTGTGTTTTGGCACGGTTCAGGAGCCTCAAGACGCAACACTAACGGTGATTCGCGGCGTTGAGGCCCCGGAGATAGTGTTTGGCACAGTTCCGGATGTTCGATTTAGTGTCTTGCAGCGAGGCATTTAATGAACATGAATCCGTGGAGGAGCCTATGAATAGGGAGCTTGGAGGAAGGGTTTCGTGAAACATGGTTGATGAGTCTTGGGTTTACTCTGGTCCTCCTTCTCCTCGTCCTCCTCCCATTTCCCTCTCCTCTTCCCCCTCCTCCTCCTCCTTGTCCTCCTCCTCCTCCTCCTCTCACCCTCATCGTCATCCTTATCCTCCTCCGAGAAGCCGGATATCGGGGCCGGCCAGGCCGGCCAGCACAACGTCCTCTTCCTGAAGGTCGCGGGCGACAGGTCGGGTGCTGCAAACGTTAGGGGCGGGGCAACGGTAGGGGGGGAATCGGCTCAGGGGGGGCACCTTGACCCCCGATCGCCCGTGCATCGCCGGTGGCGGCCCGATAGCCCACCCCGCCGAGGAACGCGCGTCTTTGCCATCGGGGGCGTGTGGCCCATCCGTCGGTGATGCATCGCCGTTTCCAGCTCGGCGGCTCTCCTCCCCTGAGCTGATCCCCCCTGCCACTGCCCTTCGTGAGGGCGCTCCTGTGGCCCAGGGCGCCCCCGGGTTTCCGCTCCATCCTGCGCTGCTCAGCTCAGAAGGCCGTGGGGCCCTCCTCGGAAATCCTCGTCACCCGCGGGGGCGTGGAGAGAGTCTTGTTCGTGGCCAGACCTTGGTGACGCCAGGGGCAACAAAAACCCAATCAGTGGATGGTTTGAGGATTGGCGGCATGGACATTGGGATCGATTGTGAGCGATAGTGAGATCGAAAGTGGGATGGATGGTGAGGACGACAGTAAGGCCGATCTTGAGACCGACAGTGAAGGCGATTCAGTGAGATCGATAGTGAGATCGTTCGTGCGATCTTTTGCTAGATCGGCTGTGAGATCGGTAGTCAGATCGATCGTGAGATCGATAGTGAGATCGATAGTGAGATCGATACAGGGGTGGGTAATGCGATCGATGGTGAGACGTGTCGATAAGGAGATCGACCAGGAACCCGGAAACCCAGAAGTCCGGGAATCCCGCCGCCAAGCGAAAGCGGCCCAGAACCAGCATCAGGGAATCAGGGAATCCGAAACCGGGAACCCAGGAACCTGGCCGCCTACCGAAATCGGGCGTTCCTTTTTGCCTAATTCTTGAAGATCCGCTAGGACCGCTTCAGTGCAAGCACTGATTAATGAAGTACAGGGGAAACCGCTCCAGAGCGTTTCGAGTCGCTCTCAGAGCGTTCCAGAGCGCTTCGAGGAGGCCGCGGCGCCCGATGCATCCTGTAGAATCGGAGGGAGGAGAAGCGACACCAACACCAGCAGGAGGCCCACCTCCAGCGAGGAGGTACACGATGCCTCCCTGAGCTGGAGGCTGGGGATGTCTCGAGCGAGGTGGGGTGGACCACACCACCAGGGAGACCCCACTTGCCTCCTAGCATCCCCTCGCTCTGGTGGTGTTGGTGTTGCTTTTCTCTTCGTTCCTACCAGAACCGCTCGACCCCAGAGGTTCTCGACCCATCCCTGTCCGATGCTGCCCATGTCCTGGCTTCGCCTTGGAGAATCGCGCGTCGCGTTCCTGGCCGAGTCGTCTGCCCTCTCTTTCGGGGGGGGGGAGGCGCGCGCGGGCTCGAAGAGGGAGCGCGCAGTCCAGGCCCACCAGGCGGCGTGGTGCGCGAAGTCCGACGACCTGAGAGAGTCGGGAGGATCGACATGGGCACGGACAGAATGGGTACAGTGCCCAAATCCAGCTCCTGCTCATTCTGAGCAGGATCCGTGGTCCGCACCGCCGCGGAAGTTGTTCTCTGCAGGCAAAGGAGCCGCCTGCCCAACAGCGGCCGCTGTCTGTCTTGGACAGCACTTGCTGTTCGGCATTGTGACCATTTTGTTCCGTACCCACGTCGGGCGTCGAAGAAGAACCTTTTGGGGGAAGGAGGGGAAGTCGGGAGCACACACTTGTTGTTGAAAGCAGGTATTCTTAGATTACCGTATCCCGGTCTACTTTGAGGCGCCTTCCTACTTCAAACGTCGAGCGGTTTGTCCCTCTTCCCTCATCTTCAAGGGGAGGACGGGAAGCCAATCTACTTCCAACGCCTCCCCACTTCATGCTTCTGCCCACCTCTCCCGCTCGACGGGTACAACCCCCGGGAAGCTATTCGGACGTACTCTCATCTGGTATCTGGGCTGGATGCCCCCCCCCTTGTTGGGGCCAAAGCTTGTGGTCCACGCGACCCCACGCAAAGTCGGGGATTGGGGTCGCCCCACCCCCCCCCTCCCCCCGTTGGACGCATGGAGAATGCGCAGGCAGCAGGTGCGTCGAAGCGTTGGAAATCCCGACAAAAACTCAGTGACCCCAGACGTCTGGCGTCGTGATATTTTTGTTGAAGGCGTGGCTCCCACGAGGTTTGGACCCCTTCCGCCGGACCGGCTCTTCGCCCTGAGTCGGCGTTTGATTGTCCCGGTCACGACTCTGACACACGATGCGGGCGGGGGGGTCGGGTGCTCCAGAGCCGAGGACACGCAGAAGCCTTCCGTCCTGCGCTTCCCAACGAGAGGATATACGGGTCTCGGGCCGCGGGCGTTTTTGGCAGCACCCTCGGCAGGGGGTGGGTGTTCGACGAGAAGCCCGACCAGCACGGCGAGACGCCAGACGGGATCATGTGCAAGAGGGTGCCCCCTTGATTCGAGTGGGGGATCGGCTGCAGAATTGGTTTGCCCCAGAGTTGTTGTTTTCGTCGGATCTGTAGAAATCTACGACACGATTCTACAAATCTTCAGCAGATTCGATGAAACAAGGAATTGTTGGTACATTAATTCTGCAATCGATCTCCTGCTCGAATGATGCTCCCCTGCTCGTTTAGGGGGGAGGGGGGGTGCAGGAGGGTGGCGACGGGGAGCGAGGAGACAATTTGTTTGTCCCCTTGCGTTACAGGCCACGCAGTTGGCGTGCAACTCGTCCGCCTAGGCATGCGTTTGACTTATCTGCAGCGCCGTGTCAACGCGTCGTTTTGGATGGATGGCTTCACTGACTGACTGCCGGTAACAGGCGACCGATCATATTCGTGGGTAGTCGTTCCAAGAATACAGTCAACCCGCATAGTAAGGATGGGCAACCTTCCTAAGGGTACCCTTGCATCCTGGCCTCTTCGGTCCATCCTTGGCTATTCTTGTTGGCCGCGCTCCGCTCGAACAGCTCCGAAATGGGCGTCCAAGGCCCTCGCGTCCTGATCGCGCATCCTTATGATACAGGCCGACTGTAGTCTGTCATTCCAAGGATACCCTCACATTCTTGCCTTTTCGGTCCATCCTTGACCACCTTCGATGGTCCGCCGCGCTCGAGAGGGCTTCCCCGCGGGCGTCCAGAGTTGCCCCCTCGGGCGGCGGCCTCACCGGCCACAGCGTCGGCAGCACTACTCATCAGAGCGAAGGTACTATGGAGAGATGCTGGTTTGTTGGGTAATTCCACAGCGGCCGCAAAATAGGTCACAAACATAGGTGAACAATAACGTATATTCGACATCTGCAAGTTAAATGGCATTACGTTCTAAGGTGTAAGCGCTCAAGCGCACGCGGTGTTTGCGGCGCGCAGCGGTTTCCTTGCCGGGGAAGCCGATTGTCATGGCAGCCCAGGGCGATCATGCGTCTTGCAGCGTCGCGCGGGATCGGTTTCCATGGCTCGGTTTTGGGGTCTCTCGCCGCGGGGGCGCGCCATGACTTGGCGCGGCGCGGGGCCTGGCGCCGTCCGCGCCTGTCCAACAAGTGATTGGCGAAGGGCCCGCCCTTCTGCAGTTCTGATTACAGTTTCTGGTGGAAATTCTTCGGGGGCCAACGGTGCGCGTGACAGGGGCGTGCCGACATGTACTAGGGCCGCCGCGCGAACGGTGCCAGCAGGGTCGGGGCTTCCAGCGGGGCTCTTTGCGGGGCCACGACGCGCGTGACAGTTGCGCAAGTATGCCGCGCCCAGCCGCTGCCGCTAGGGCCTTCGGCGGTGCTCCCCCTCGAGCCTCGAACTGCGCGAGGGTTCTGCAGGTGCTGCGGCGCGGCCGCCGCTTCTGGGGCCTTCGGTGGAGGTCCCTATGGGGCCACGACGCGCGCGAGCGGTGCCCAAGCACGCGCGCGGCCGCTGACGCTGGGACCCTTGGCGGGTTCCCTTATACAGGCCATCGAATTTCGGCCGCCTAATTTTTACCCATTTCAAATCGGCGCGCCAAGTTCCCCCGGGGATTGCGAATGCCTGGCCTAGTTTGTTATTGCATTTGTTGTGCATTTCGATTGGGGCGCCTGTGCGCTCCCAAGCAAATCGCGGGCGCCCGGGGGCCGCGCCGATCGAGGCCCCGCGGCGATCGTGCCGGCGTCTGGTGCAGAGCCTGGGAGGGCATTTTTCGCCGCCCTGCGTCGTGGTGTCCATCTAGCAACAACTTTGGGGGCCCTCGAATTTGCTGCCCGAGGCGCCGGCGCAATCGGCGCGGGCTGGGCTGGATGCGAGCGGCGCCGTGGAGCGGGGCCGCCGTGGGTTGTCGCGGCGCGGACGGCCAGGGGGAACGACGGGGTTCATTGGAGAGGGCGGCGGGCAGCGTGAAGGGCGCGCGAGGGGGAAGGGAGGGGGGAGGCACGATCGGAGGGGGAGGGGGGGGCGGGGCGGAGGGGGGTGGGGGGGAGGGGCGAGGAATAGGGAGGTCCGCGTCGTCGGCGGCGTTTTGGGGGGCGTTCTTGCTGGCTTACTCGCTAGTCGCAGCGGCGGCGGTCGCGCGGGCCGCGGCGGCGTGCTTTCGACGTCATCGGTGCGCGGGGGAAGGCAGGACGTTTTGCCATCGGCATTCGTGCGATAATGGCACAGTAGCCGTTTTCGAGTTTGTATCGCAGAGATGTTTGGTGGCCCGTGGCCCTTTACACTGGCGAGTCGGCCTGTAGCTTCGCGCGGCTCTCGGCGGCCCCGTTGAGGCTGTTCTAGCCGCCGCCCCCATTCAAGTGCAAGTCGCCCCCGTTCCCGTCCTCTGCGCCGCCTCGTCGCCCAGCCCCATTCTCCAGAAAGAGGTCGCACGCCTGCCCCGCCTCCTTCTTCTCGTGCGCGGGTTTCATCGGCCCCGTCGTCGTTTTCCTGGCACCGTCGTTCCTGTCAGTGGCTGCGCCGCTGCTTCTGCCCCCGGTCTGCCTTCCGCAGTGTCGCCGCCGCCGCTGCCGTCGCGGATGCGGCGTCGGAGATGTGCAGATTCGGTGGGGCTGCGTCGTCGACTCGCAAGCGAGGCTCTCGAGTTGCGCAGGGTGGATCACTCCTGCGCGCGAGCGGTTTCAGCGTGAGTGCACAGCGGGGGCATATTTTCCATGTGTTTCACAGCGCCTAATCGTCTTGCGTTTCTCCTGCAATTTAGCGTGTTCCTGGATTCCCAGGCTGTCTACGAGCCGCCGCCTTCCAAAACGCGCAAAGCTAGACTGGGGACCGAACCGTGTTTCGGCGTTGGGCCTGGGCCTGCGACTTAAGAGAGCCACCTCGCGCGCGTGACCCGATGGAGCTCAGCTTACAAATCCAGCATGCTCGACCCACGCTTGGACGCCACAGGTCGACGCGATCCTTGCGTCGCCCTCGGGCGCCCTCTGCGCGTTCGACAGTCACCGGTGGGCGAACGGCCCAGCTCGCGGGGAGGAGCGGTTCGGCGCGGGCGGGGTGCCCATCGGCAACCCGCCAGGCCGCCCCGAAGCAACCATAAATAGACGCGCGGCCGGCCACGGCGGCGCAAGCGCAGGTCCGCAGCGCGCGCCCCCCCCCCCAAGCTCTTCCATCGATTTTCCTTTCCCCACCAAGCGACCCCACCCCCGGGCCGGATTGACTGGGGCATGCAATTGAGCGCGCGAATCGGCCAGCGGCAGAAGGCCCGTGAACCAGAAGCACGATCGTTCAGGCTCGCTGCAGACTCTGTCCTCGAGGTGGTTCGTGCGATCGACGGCCGCGTCCGAAACCAACGCGTTGCATTCGCGCGACCAGCGCCGATGCTGGGGCGCCCCAGTTGGGGCGCCGCACCGCGGGCACCTGCTGGAAGCGGCCGGAAAATATCCAGCGCCTTGCGTCCTGGGCTCCGTCCGGCATGCGCCGATGGGGGCGATTTTTACAATATTCAAATTATCCAAGTTTCTTTTCTTTTTAAAAAATTGAAGTCAATACCCCCTTCCACCCGCCTCCCCATACAATGCGATGACGTTTGAATTCAAGACGAGGACGCGCACTCATCCCCCTAAAGAGCTGATGCGGAAAGAAACATCAGCACCAGTCGCGCGCAGCGTTTCTGGACCTACGACCCAGCACACAGGCGACACGGGATCCTAGTTCAATTTCAGCACTGCAACGGCACGCGTTATCTGACATTAACCTTCTTGCCAGCGGCGTTGAGTTTCAGACGGATGACACAGCGTCTCGCCCCGCGCCGGGGCAGCAGGGGGCCCGCGCTTGCGATCCGCAGCGCGCCAGGCAGCCCAGGGCGCAGTCCGATGTTCTAGCCGCATTCTAAGCTTACGTCTGGCCCGCCCCTCTACAGGAGGAACATTCCAAACGTTCAAAACATAACAAGGGGGCATTTGTTTTAGGAATTTCGCGCTACTGATTAGTAATATTTGTTTTATGTTTCTTCTGAATTCGCCTGTAGGAGGACGTGTCCGACCGCGCCGCCAGCTCAAAACCGTTGTCGTGCAGGCCCCATGATGGGGCTCGCCGCCCCGGGCGCGCGCGGTCGCCTGGCCTCTCGCGGTGTCGATCGCCCGGCGGTCTCACGGCCCCGCCGCCAACGCCTCGGGCCCCCGGACCTCCTCGAGTCATGGAAAAAATCACGACGGAAGGTTTTTCTGCATTTTCGTCTTCGGGGGGCCTTCGCCAGGCCTCGGGGCCAACAACAGACCGGCCATTTCTGGGGGGGGCGCGGGTCTGCGGGGCCGGGGGCGCCCTCCCAAATGATATCCCTCGTTTATGTAATTTCAAGCAGTTGCACCTGAGACTGCGTGCTGTTGTGATGCTGTAGGGTAGCAGCGACGGCCTTGGAATCAGCCATGAAGGCGGCGCAAAACCCCTCTCTGGACAGGGCCAGAAATCCCGCTCGACCCCGCGCTGGGATGGCCGTCTCAAGCTCACGCCGCAACTGCGACAGCCATGCCAAACTAACATGAGCGTGGGGCACATCGCACCCCGATGTCAGGACACCGGCACAACGCGCATCCTGCGCCTTCGGCTGAGCCGGCCAAGCGCTTCCATGAGGACGGCGCGCAGGCATGGGGGCAATCGCGTGCGAAACAACGCATTCGCTGGACATGTGACAGCTTGACGCGCGACGATAAACGGCGCCGCCGCATCGACAAACTAAGAAAAATATCCCACGGACCCGCGCCTCGCAACAACGATTGAGACAAACCGGGCCCATCGCGCAGCGCGCAGCAGAATCAAAGGGCAGGGGTGGCCGCCAGCAGCCGGCCGTCGGCGCGAAACCGCTGCAAAGATTCGGAACGAGCGCGCGCGGCGATGCGACCCCGCCCCTTCCAACCCTGACCACGCGGGAGACGACGACAGCGAGAATGCAGAGCAGGGGTGGGGAAGGGGTGCGAGGAGAGGACATCGACGTAGGCGGTGGGGACGATAGAGGCGACGCGGAGAGGGGGGGGGCGGGGCGCAAGAAATATGGAGGAGGAGGAGC